GTATCCATTTATGTTTAAGTTAAAAAAAAAATCACTGAACTGAAGTTTCTTCTACAGTTACTGTTAGTTCTCAGAATGTAATCAAAAGGAATTTCCCTTGTTATCTCTGCCTGCTGACTGTTTATAGAGGAATGAGCATGGCAGTAAACATCAAACCCTGTAGCCTCTCTTCATGCTTCTCTTGTTTAAGTACTTTGGTGTCAAGGGCTGCTATGTGAAAAATACCGCAGGTCTCTGACTTTAACAAATAGAAACATCTTTTCTCACAGTGTAAGGATTCCTAATCCAAAGGACAGGCTCCACCTCCAGTTCTTTCATGGTGATAGTGAGTCCCTCTGATCTCTGTTAGCTTGTTTCATTCCTTTGTATCTTAGAAAAGATTCATTTAAGACACTACCTAATCCTTTTGGGGAGCTGTGGTGGCCTAATGGTAAGAAGCTGAACCATAATCCCAAAGGCAGGCAGTTACAGTCCCCCACCTGCTCCTCAGAAGAAGGATAGGCCATCTCCTCCCGCGGAATAACTGCCTCTGGAAACTTGCTGGAGGGTTAGCTATGAGTCAGTTCCAACTTGAAGGCACACAACAACAGCAGCAAATCTAATCTTGTAGATTACACCCTTCTCCTTAACATAACTGCCTCTATTTCTACCTCATTAACAATATCACTTTTTAAAAAAAATTTCAAATTTATTGCTATTGAGTAAGAAACAATTCATAGTTGATTTTCCATTTGGTTTCTATGACTGTAAATCACACAAGGTTGGTCCATCTTTCTTGCTGGTGTTGCTTGTGGATTAGAACTACCAGAGAGCAAGCATTTGGGTTTACAGCACAGGAATGAGGAATTTACACAAGCTGTAGGACAATTAACATCAGAGCGCAAAGTGGAAGGGAATACAAAAGTCTTGGCACAGTCAAGTTGACATGTTTTGGAGAGACACAGTCCATTTATAACAGACCTTGAGAGCTCTCCCACTTTTACTTTCTCCTGCCTTGTCTCAGAACTCTCCTCCTTTGGTTTCCACAGCTCAACCTTGTCTTGAAATGTTTTCTCCCTGGTCACTTTTTCTTGTAATTGATGGAGTCTCATTTCTAGCTGCAGCACATTCCCCTCCTCCCTCTATTTACTCTTTGAACTGTCTTGTCATCCCTTCCAGTTCAACCTGTGTGCGAAGGGTGCTTTCCCGAGTTCCAGAGGCACATCTCCACCTTGACATGCCACTAGAGACTCAAGGTTGCCAATGTCCCAAACTAACCTCATTACTTCTCTTGATGCCCTAGTAGCCTCAGATTCTGCCCCACCTGTGGTCTTCTCTGCTTGGATAAATAGCGTCACAGTCCACTTGGTTGCATATTTTTGAGACCTGGGGGATTAGCCATATGTCCCCTCTCCTCCATCATCCATGTCCTAAAAACTACCAAAGTCAGTCATTTTCTGCTCACAATGGTATTTCTCTTCTCCTCCTGGACAGTCCCTCTCCAAGGTATCCTGTTTATTGCTCTAGAATTGTGGGTGTGTTTTTTTAAATTAATTTTAATGAAAATTTACAGAGACTTTGCATTTCCATTCATTCATTGTTGCACTTTTCTCCCCAAACCCCAGTACACTCTTCTCTTTGGAAAGTAAAAGAAAAATTATTTCATAGTTTTACAATACCTCCCCCCAGGTCCACTCCACTATGCAACCTTCATTCTGGATTCCTGTCATGACAATAATACCTAATCACATATCCCTTTTAAACAGTTTCCTGCCTCATCTGTTTCAATGCAGTATACATTTTTTATCCCATCTTTCTCAGTCTCCCCCCAACCCCGATGTCAGTCCCATCTTACAACAGTGGCACTATGCAGTATTTGTATCTTTGTGACTGAGATATTTCACTCAGCATAATGTCTTCCAGGGTCAACCATTTTGGCATGAGTTCCTTGTTTTTCAGTGCAGCATAGTATTCCATTGTGTGACTATACCAGAGCTTCTCTATCCATTCATTTGTTGATGGGCACCTGGGTTGTTTCCAACTCCTTGCTATTGTGAACAGAGCCACAATAAACTCGGGTGTGCATATATCTGCTTGGATGGTGGTTATGGTCTCTTTGGGATATATTCCCAGTGGTGGAATTGCTGAGTCAAATGGTATCTCTTTTTGCAACTTTTTGAGAAAGCGCCACACCACCTTCCACAGTGGTTGCACCGTTTTACACTCCCACAAACAGTGAATAAGGGTTCCAATTTCTCCACAACCTCGCCAGCATTTGTTGCTTGCTGTTCTGTTAAATTTTGCTATTCCTACTGGGGTGAGATGATATCTCATAGTTGTTTTGTAGAATTGTTTCTAAACCACATATCTGATCTTATCATTGCCTAACTACACCTCCTGATGGCTCCTCAATGTCCTTAAAACGTAGTTCAGTGTCTGTGGCATGCTGTATGGAAGCCTTTATGGAAGCACTGAACCTGTACACATATTGATTTAAATTGCTGTGTACTAGTGAATTAAAAGGGAATGCAATCCCGAAAGCATGCTGTTTGAATACACAAGTTGCTCTGTGGAAGAAAAATGGGCAGTCTCCTCCTGTGTGAGTAAAACTGCCTCTAAAAGTCCACTGGAAGGTCAGTGATACGTCGGTTCTGATACACACCAACAACAGTGAAAACAGTGAATTGAGAGGCTACAGAAAAATAACAAAACAGAGAAGAAATATGCAGCAGCTTGTTAATGTTCTGTTAGCTTTGTAGATGACCGTAGCCTATTTATTATAAGAACTCTGATAATGTAGCAATTGAGTGCTTGACATTAGCTGAGAGACATATAGTTCAAACACACAAACTGTTTCTTCGGAAAAAGATACCATAATTTGCTTAAGTAAAGATTAGAACCTTGGGAAATCTGTGGGACGGTTTTACTTTACAGTGACTCAGTGACAAGAGTGTTGTTTGGTTTGTGGGTTTTTTTTTTCCTTTTTTAAATGGTAGCTTTTAATAATATTTTATGGTACATAATTGAAGTAAGAATTAATGAAAAGAGACAGTCATTAAAAACATACTGGCTGAAAGGCCTTAACAATAAAAATGACAATGTTATAATGAAAATGAACTTTCTAAACAATACTTAAATCACTCTTGAAGCCTATTAAAATATGTGTTTTTCCTGAACAATCAATATACTGTTGATATAAAATGGGATAGAATTATTACTTTATATATTTATATAATTTTCTGTAGAGTGCATATACTTAGTTTGTTTGGGTTTTTTTAAATTATCACAAATATTTGAGATATATGCATTACTGAGTAATTCAGACAGCTTTAGGGAGTTTTTATGTAGGTGAGCTGTGCCTCTCATCACCTTACCTTTTACCTCTTACCTAGTGTCTTTCACAATAATTATTTCCTGTTGGTTTGACAAGATTTCATTCTGTTGTGTAGAGGGTCATTATGAGTCAATGACACCTAACAACAACGTCTTGGCATTTGAGTTCCTGGTGGTGGACTTAATTGTACAACTACTAACTAAAAGGTTAACATTTGAAACCCATCCAGAGAAACCTTGGTATGTGAGAGGCAGGGGCCAGGTGAAAGAGGAGGCAGGCTTGCTCTGGTGTGGAAGGAAGGACACTCAACAAGTGGCTGCCTTTCAGGAGGCCACTTTTGTTAGAGAGTTCTGGTGAGGAGCTGCACTGCCAACCTGAAGGCACATGGTTTGAATCCACCAGCTGCTCTGTGGGAGAAATGCAGGCAGTCTCCTCCCGTGGGATGTATTGCCTCTGAAACATGCCAGACGGGCAGCTATGAGTTGGTTCCAATTTGACAGTAGATAACAACACAACAACATGTGGCTATCCCGAGCACCTTTTGCATTGCCATTAATCTGGGAGACCTTTCAATGAAAGAATTAATGATAGGAGACATACTCCAGTGCACCACATCAGAGAAGGTACATGAGTCCTCACAGGGAGTGATGCTCAAGAATTATACCTTCTGCACCCACACGGTCAGAGACTTTTGGTTAAGAGGTCTTTCGGGGTTTGTTTTTTAAAATCACACCATCAAACACTAAGGTAGAATTTTGCTCACTCTATTCTAGAAGCTAATATACTCAGGCTTAATTCTTTTTTCCCCTTTAACTTGTAAAAGTTCAAAGATCTGATGCACTTATAAAGCAGTAGTCTGTACCCTTCATTTACTGCCAACATTAGAGAAGTTTATGTGGATGGAAATACTTTCATGAGAAATTTCCATTTTCTCATCTCCCTCTTGGAGAGCCCAAAACTTTCCCTGATGTGTGGATAAATAGGCAGACAAGGTAAAGTCGTAGTTAAAGGGAGAGCTGATTTTTACTCCAATGGTCCTGGATGGCTGAAGTAACACACAGGGTCCCCTAGTGTTATACGCTGTCACGTTGGAACTGACTCATAGCTGACCCTCCAGCAGGTTTTCAGAAATTGCATGGGAGGAAATTGTCCATCTTTCTCATGCAGAGCGCTGGCAGATTCAAACCACCTGCCCTTGGATTGGCAGCACAACTGCTTATCCACTAGGCTGCCAGGGTTTCCTCGGGATCTCCTAAGCTCTCATAAACTGTCATATTTATGGGAGCAGTTTTCCATATCTTTCCTCTGTGGAAGAAAAACTGCCTCCTAATGCTGTAGTCTATGACCTTGGAAAAATGATGAAAGTTATACAAGTGTTCAGGTCTTTCGTTCATAGGGTTGCTATGAGTAGTCTATGACTCGACGACACTTAACAACAACAACAATGCTATATAAGGGAGCTCTGGTGGCCTAGTGGTAAGAAGCTATGCTGCAATCTCAAAGCCATGTGGTTTGATTCCATCAGCTGATCCGTGAAAGAAGAGTGTGCAATTAACAGTCTGTGAAAACCCTCTGGAGGGTCAGCTATGGGTCGGTTCTGACTTGATGGTACACAGCAACAATAACAATGCTATAAAAAGGAAATATTTCCTTTTTTGCTTATCCCTAAATGCCTCTTGTTTTATAGGTTCTCTAAGCGCCCGGTGTGACAACTCTGGGCAGTGCAGCTGTAAACCAGGTGTGACAGGAAGCAGATGTGACCGATGCCTGCCAGGCTTCCACAAACTCACTGAGGCAGGGTGCACCCAAGACCAGAGACTCTTGTAAGCATCTATATATATGCCACCATTGCTGCTAATAACGCTCATTTTATTAACAGGAGCAACAATGCACACTTACTGACACTCTTTTCAATCCTTTGCACAGATTATCTGATTTCATCTTCACAATAACTTCCTAAGAAGTTGAGGGTGCTATGTGCATTTGAAAGATAAGACATTCAGGACAGAAGAGGTTTTTGGGAGAATCTCAGTGATACTAGCGAGGATCGGGTACCTTGTTCGGTTGATATTTTGTGTACACCAGCCATTTGATGGGAGAGAGATGAGACAGTCTGAGCCCACCAAGATTTACACAGCCTTGGGGACCATATATATGGCAATTCTACACTGTCCTCTAGACTCACTCTGTATCGGAATCAACTCAGTGGAATGGTTGGTGGTGAACTTGAGCCTAATATTCAAGCCTAGAGAATTTGTCTCTGAACCAAAGCTCTTACTCCTGATTTTGCCCTCTTTTAGATGAATGAAGTAGGATAGAAGTAATGAATACATCAAATTCTACCTTCGGATCCATTTCTACCCAAATAAATGGAATGAATTCTCCCCCCGCCCCCCGGCATAATCTTTTGTCCCCTTTGGTTCTCTTGTCTGCAATACAATAAATTCTGATTCATACTGATGTTTTATCTGGTTTTCAAGGCAGTGCATCTTTATGGGAGGAGATTATTCCTCTTTTGTCCATCAAACAGGTAGTGGGACTTGAACCACTGACCAGCCCAATACACAATGGACTATGTTACCAAGGTTCCTTGAATATCCTCTTTTTCCTTCTCAGATACCTCTGTGTGGGGCCATGAGGGATAAGATAAAGTATACATGACAAATTGCAGAATTCCACAGAGATACAGGTCTGATTTTTCTAGCAACTGGACCTCAAGACACAAAGTGTACTGGCAATTTGGAGAGGTCTGACCTGTTTGAAGAGGAAAAGTGTGAGATGATGCTGAGAATGTAGATTGGAAGTGGGTCATAGAGAGCCACAGAGAGCTCTCTCTATGATCTGAGATGGTCTATGAGATCTGAGGCCGTGAGACAAAACAATGCTCACCTCTTTACCAGGTAGACTCATGGTTATGATACCTGGGACAGCCAATGTTGTTGAATAAGGCTTGAGAGTGAGTGAAAGGGGTGAATACATTTTGAAAGTTATCTTAGTATAATGCAAGGCTCTTAGCATAACAGCATTGTTGGGGCAGCTTAGGGAAGGAGGAGCTTGGCAGTGAAGTCATTAGCTAAGGGCTCCAGTCAATCCCACTGCCATAGAATTGAATCCAACTCATGAATTCCAATGCAGTGACCTGCTATTGGAATTCTGAGGCTGTGAATTTTTATAGGAGACTGCCTCACTTTTCTCCCTTGGAGTGACTGATGTTTTCAGACTCCCAGCATGCAATGCCACCCTGTCCCCTTAGCTAGAGGGTGCCAGCTAAAAAATTGCTTCCCCTATTTCTTACTTTTCTATAAGGAAACTGCCCTCCAGCTCTACTTACGTTGTCTCAGTTATCACTGTCCAAAACCCTCTACCCTCTAGACTTTTATGTGTGGATGTGGATTATTCTTTTTGATTAGTCTTTTTTTAAAGAGCCCTGGTGGTGCAGGCGAATAAGCACCAGAATGCTAAATGAAAGGTCAGAGGTTTGAATCAACCCACCCAGCAGCTCTTTAGATAAAAGGCTGGTGATCTGCTCCCATGTAGATTACAGCTTAGGACACAGAGCAGATAAAGGAAGATCAGTCAGTAGAGAAAGACCCTCCATGGGGTTGCAACATTGGATGGAGGAACTCTATTTTATCACTTAGGATTTCCCTGAGTTTAAAAACATCTTTATAGCACCTATAGCATCTGTATAGCTCTCTTCCCTCACCACCTTTTAGGCTCTTTTCAGAGATTGCCCTTAGATCTGATCTCCCACTGCAGTCCTTTAACTCCATGAAGTGGGTCATCCCACCGCTCTGCTCCCAAACCTCTATTCACTCCCTATCCCAGTCAGAATGAGGGGCAAACTTCTCCTCAAGGCCAGTAGGGCCATGAGAGACTCTCCCGTCTCTCCATCCCCAGCCCAGCCTCTCATTGTCTTCTCTGTTTTGGAGGAGGCCAGGCTGCCTCGCCTAGAGCCCCCCTTTTCTTCCTGCGGAGTGATACGGAGCTTCTCAGCCCTCAATCCCCACTGCGTCCTCCTCACTATGCAGCAGCCTCCCCAAGCAGCCCGCCTCTCCAAGCCCTTTCTCTGTTGTTTCCCTTCACACTTCTTTCATATCTATCTATCTATCTATATCTATATATAGTTGATTGTTGATGTGTGCTCTTGAATCATTTATTTACACTGGCAGCACAATTCCTTACATCTCTGGTGGCCTAGTGGCAAGAAGCTGCAGGGCAATCCTGAAGGCATGGGGTTCGAGGCCACCAGCCGCTCTGCAGTAAAAGGATGGACAATCTCCTCCTGTTTGATTTACTACTGCCTCTGAAAACCAGCTGGAGCTATGGGTCCGTTCTGACTCAGCGGCACACAATAACAACAAGCCATCAGACCTCATGTATATAGTTGCTGTCATGTGCCATCGAGTCAAAACTCATAGCTAACCCTTCACTCAGCAGGTTTTCAGAGGCTCTCAATTGCCCAGGAAATTGTTCGTCTTTCTCCTGTGGAGCAGCTGGTAGATTTGAACTACATCTATCTCTGTCTCTGTATATCTATATCATCTATCTATCTATCTATCTATCTATCTATCTATCTATCTATCTATCTATCATCTGTCTGTCTGTCTATCTATCTATCTATCTTTGCTTATTTCCTTTTATTTTTTTTTTTTAAAAGTCAGCTGAACCAGTTAAACTAAGCAGGGACAACTCGCCTCTCTAGTCTGGCACAAATTCCTCCTCTCTTCATGGGCTGGACCCCGCCTCCCACATACCATGCTTTGAGTACCATTGGCATAGACAGTATAGTTCTCAGAGGATCCAGGGGGGGTGGACAGTATGGACAAAGACCACTAGAAAGACCTGACTGAAGATTTGCTCACATGCACTTGATTTTTTTTTCATATAGTTGCAGGGCATTTGTAAAGGCAGACTTAAAATTTCCTTGTTCTTCTTTTCCAGAGACTCCAAGTGTGACTGTGACCCAGCTGGTACCGCTGGACCCTGTGACACCGGCCGTTGTGTCTGCAAAGCGGCTGTCACGGGAGAACGCTGTGATAGGTCTGTGTGACCCATGGCCCACAAGATGAGTCCTTTGTCAGTTAGGAAGAGAATGCATCCTTTAAATGGATCTACAGAAAAAGGATACTTAGTAAACACTGGGAGAACTTTGGTGGTGGAGTCTATAGGAAGTTGCCCGGCTGACCCAAATGCATGGTTTCTTGGGCAGTTCAAACCCTTGAGCAGCTTTGCAGGATGGAGATGGGCAATCTCCTCCCAGGTGATTTCCAACCTTCTGAAAACTTACTGTGGAGGGTCAGCTGAGTGAGGTCTGCTTCAGTGACAAGGCGTTTAAATAAACATTGAAAGCCTTCTTTCTACCCTCTACGCTAAAAAGGGAAGCACTTTTTTAAACAAAACCTGCAGAAATGGCTCTGTAATCTGCCCTGGAACTGTGTTTTTGCTGGGGCAGGGCCTCAGTGGTTCCCTTTGCCAGCTGGCTCCCGATTCCAGATGCATGGCTATGAGGTGGTATGCAGTCATGAGATCACATGACTGGTCCCAGGAAAGGGCCGGCTTAATTAATCATGCTGAGAAAATCTATGTAAGAAGGAATGGCAGTGTATATGGCCATATATAACCAGCATGCCCAGGAAAGGAACAGCCCGAGGGTTGGGATGGTGGTTACATGCACACACACGAACAACCTGGGGTACCAGGCAAGAGCTCTCTGGGCCCCAAGCCATGTTGGGACAGGGGGAGTGAGGAGAGGGAGAGAGATCCACCCTTGATTGCTGCTGTGGAACATTCCTTAGGCACAAACTGGGCTTGCCCTCAAAACCATTCTTTTCCCTGGGATTATTGTGAGCAGAGGTATGGCTACTTCTTCATTTCCTTAAAAGTAAGAAAGCAGTTCTTTGGCACCTTGCCAATCACTTATACCTGGGAAAAGAGGTGCCAGACACATTCCTAGCTTGTGTTTTCAGGAGGTTCTTTGGTGCTGAGGTGAAAGTAAAGGGAAGGGGGCTTGCTTGGCATAGTGATTGTTGTGTTGTTGTTGTTATTAGCCATTGAGTTGTAGACAACTCATAGTGACCCTATGAACGAAAGACCTGAGCACTGTTCATAGAGTTTCTGGAGGTAAGCCATTTCCAAAGTGGATGCTACTCCTGCTTACATTAAAAAAAAAGTCACTTTTTGTATTTTTCATTCTTTTTGAAATAGAACACAGATGTAGAGAACGACAGAGTGAGTCATTGATATTTTTGTTGTGTGCCATTAACTCCATTCTGATTGTAACAACCCTCTGTGACAGAACAGAAGGCTCCGGATAGCTTTCTCCAGCTGTACTCTTTACAGGGGCAGATTGCCAGTCTTTTCTCCCAGGGAGCAGCTACTGGACTCAAACCACTGACCTTTCAACCTTTTGCTTAATGGCCAAATTCATCACTAGGGCTTCTTCAAGCTCACCACACCAAAATCACTGCCCTTGATTCAATTCTGACTCATAACAATCCCAAAGAACAGAGTAGAGTTGCCTCATAGCATTTGCAAGACTGTAAACCTTATGAAGGGAGCTCTGGTAGCCTAGTGGTGAGAATCTGTGTGGCAATCCCAACGGCATGTGGTTTGAATCCACCAGCTGTTCTGTGAGAGAAAGGTGGACAATCTCCTGTGCATTTAACTGCCTCTGGAAACCCGCCAGAAGGTCAACTATGGGTCGGTTTCAACTTGCCTTATGAAGCAGACTGCCTCAACATTCTCCAATGTAAGAAAGAGTAAAACTGCCTATAAGATTTCCAAGGCTATACATCTGTATAGAAATACATTAACTACAGAATTCTATAATGAGTTAGGCTTGATGGGAGAGCAGCAGCTCTAGTGGCATTATAGATAAAAGCACTTCACTGCCAACCAAAAGGTCAGTAGTTCTAACCTACCAGCTGTTCCATGGGAGAGATATGAGACAGCTGCTGCTATAAAGCTTTAAAGTCTTGGAAACCTAGTGGAGCCATTCTGCTCTGTCCTACAGAGGAGATATGGGTCTGAATTGGACTTGATGGTGTTAGGTTTTAGTGGGAAATAGGAGTCCCTGGGCAGTGTGGTTAACATGCCCAGTTACTAACCAGAAGGTTGAAGGTTCAAGCTCACCCACACACCCCCCAAGGGAAAGTCTGGTATTTGATTTATGACAAATTGACCATGGAAAACCCTGTGGGCACACTTTGGTTCTGACACATATGGGGTTGGTGTGCGTTGGAATTCACTCAATAGCCTCTGTTTGATTTGGATGAGAGAGAAAATAGAAAAGAATTGAATTAACTGATAGGTTCTCTACATGGAATGAGAAATAATACCGTTCTGATTTCTAAAATGCTACAGGTGCCGACCGGGTTACTATAATCTGGATGCAAGGAATCCAGAGGGCTGCACTCAGTGTTTCTGCTACGGGCATTCAGCCAGCTGCCACAGTTCCACGGATTACAGCATCTACAAGATCACCTCCACCTTCCATCAAGGTGAGGGGCTCTGCTTCCCACACTTTGTGCTTATGGACAACCTCCTTAGCAGCCACATAATGGGGTCCCCTGGCCATCTTAATCAACTATTAAAATAAGTTGTAATATTATACATCAGAGAGTTGGACAATGACCAAAGAGGATAGAAGGAGAATTGATGCCTTTGAGCTGTGGTGCTGGAGAAGAGTATTGAGAATACCATGGACTGCTAGGAAAACAAACAGATTCGCCCTGGAAAGGGTTAAACCGGGTGATTCCTTGGAAGCAAGGATTCTGGGGCTCCGTCTAACATACTTTGGACATGTTGTGAGGAGAGACCGGTCCTTGGAGAAGGACATCATGCTGGGGAGGGTGGAGGGACAGCGCAGGAGGGGAAGGCCCTCTATGAGGTGGATTGATTCAGTGACTGGGATAATCAGGATGGGAGTGTCGGAGACAGTGCGAATGGCACAGGACAGAGCAGAGTTTAGGGCTGTTGTACATACGGTCGCTATGAGTCGCAGGCGACTTGATGGCACATAACAACAACAACAACATATTTAATTTTATCAGTGCAGTAAGTCATGCCATGTTGATGTTGTCAAGTTGGCTCACAGCAGCACTATCAACAACAGAACGAAACGCCACCCAGCCTGCACCATCCTCTCAAACTCAGCTGTGCTTTTGCTCATTGTCGAGTTCACTGTGTCCAACCATCTCACTGAGGCTCTTCCTCTCTTCACTCTCTACTTTTCCAAGCATGATGTCCTCTCCCAAGGACTGGCCCTTCCTGCTAACATGTCCAAACTCTGTACTACAAAGACTCACCATCCTTGCCTCTAAGGAACATCCCTACTAGACTTCCTCCAAGACATGCTTGTTTGGCGGTCGCTGGAGTGTTCAGTACTCTTCGCCAGCACCACAATTCAAAGGCATCAATTCTTCTTTGGTCTTCCTTATTCCATGTCCAACTTTCAGCTGCATAAGAAGGAACTGAAAATACCCTGGGTTAGGTCAGGTGTACCTTAGTGCTTAAACTGACATCTTTGCTCTTTAGCACGTTAAAATCAGACCCTAATATTTGAAAAAAGTTGTGGCTCACCATTTTACTCAGACCAAAGTATTACTACCTTAAAAAGATACCAGATTTCCTCTCCTCTGCTTTTCCTTTCACCATCTATTCCAAAACCACAAAGGAATTACTTATTTTGATTCGGGAGTCTATGAGCCTTCATAACGTTCATATTTACTATTAATATCCACTTCACCCTCATTAAATGAATTAATTTATGGAAGATTCGTTGGCAAGATACAAAAAGTGTAGCAAAAATGCTGGGAATTTATAAGATTTTTAACTCTGAGTTTCCCTTTGAACTTACAGAGCTCTCTCGCTTCACCACTAAGGTCATACTCAGTTCATGTAAATACAGTAAAAATACAAATTATGGGTCGATGAAAAATGTACTCTTTTATCACAAGAATTGGACTCAAAAGTGAGACGGCAGAGCAGACAGTGGAGGCACAGATGAGCCCCTAATGGAGAGAGAAGTGCACAGGGAATTATAATGTGGAAATAATAAGAAGACTTAGTTTCCTACTCACCACTTAAAACTTTTGGCCAGGACAGTATGCCGTGCTGTGTTTGAACACAGAGTGATGTAATTTATATTCCAGATGTTGATGGCTGGAAGGCTGTCCAAAGAAATGGTTCTCCGGCAAAGCTGCAGTGGTCTCAGCGCCATCAGGACGTGTTCAGCTCAGCACGGCGGGCAGACCCTGTCTATTTTGTGGCTCCAGGTATGTAACGTATCACATTTCCTATAGAAGCTAATGTGTTTAACAAGAGAATCAGGATAGGAAAGTGGAGTAAGAAAATGTAGAAACCATACCACTTACTACTCAATGGAATGTATTTCTAGAAGATAATTGGGACTTAAGCCAGATTTGATGGTTTCACCAAGGCAGAGCACAACAGGACGGAACTCAGTCAGACCCAGGCCTGATCTCCCACTTTCTTCAAGGGGAACTTTCTAAGTTTCCTGTCAGAGATGTTCAGTGGAAATGAAGCACCAGGGTCAAAATTGTAGATCTATTTGGAAACAGATGTTAAGGGTTTCAAAGTTAAGCTTTGCTTAAAAAGCTTTTAAACATCTGTAAGTTGAAACTGTAAAATAAAACTCGTCAGTTTTGTACACTTAGAAAAGTATAGGAATTTTTTTGACTAGCATCCTAATCCTGATTTATTTCCTTAATGGATCTCTGATTCCTGGGAAAGTTGTTCTCTCAACAACTCTGAACTTCAGTGTGCTCGTCTGTAAAATAGAAATAGTAATGGCTTCCTGTGAGAATTACTGCTGTCAGATGTGATGGTGTTTGTGAAAGCACTTTGTAAATGGTAAAGCCTACAAAACGAATAAAAAGGGAGTCCTGGTGGCATAATGGATTAATTCTTGCATTCCAGTTGCTAATTGAAAGGTCAGTGGTATGAGCCCAGTTATTTTTCTTTAGGAGAAAGGGGAGTCTATTTTCCCTAAAGATCAAAGCCGTTGAAATCCTGTCAGCGGCTCTGTTCTTATAAGGGTTACATGAGTTTAACTGACTCAGTAGCCGTGAACTTAAGAGTTTATACAACAAATAGCACTACCGCTGCTGACATGGTTGAGACATTTACATATCACTCTGCCTGATATTTTATTATTTTGTGTGTGTGTACCAGATCTGACTGGTACAGGAGGAGGACACTGCCCTTCCTTCTTCAGCAGAGCATCTGGTAGATTCGAACTGCATGCCTCTGGGATTGCAGTGCAGCTTTTTTGCCACTAGGCCACCAGAGCTCCCTATTTATTTATTTTCTTTATTTTTGTGTGTGTACCATCAAATCAGATCTGACTGGTACAGGAGGAAATTGCCCCTCCTTCTCCAGCAGAGCATCTGGTGGATTCGAACCACGTACCTCTGGGATTGCAGTGCAGTTTCTTGCCACTAGGCTACCAGAGCTCCCACCACTCTGCCTGATATAAGGACCATTTTATGAATCATCCCGTATGTAGACTTGCCTTTTAATGAGGTTCTTTTGGCATTTTGGTAACTCATCCTTCTTCATAGTCACTAAGGTTTAGCCATTTCCAATATTGACTCTTCTGGCAGGGTAATTTGGAGCAAGGGTGAATGTCATCAGTTGGCAACAGAAATGACCAATGTTAGTGCAAACTGGTTCACTCTTTGAATCTGTTGTTTCACTACTGACCTAAATCATTTAAAATTCTCTTTCACAGCCAAATTTCTTGGGAATCAACAGGTGAGCTATGGACAAAGCCTGTCCTTTGACTACCGTGTGGACAGGGGAGTCAGACACCCATCTGCCCACGATATAATCTTGGAAGGAGCTGGTCTCCGCATCACTGCTCCCCTGGTGCCAGTTGCCAAGACTTTGCCATGTGGGATCACCAAGACTTACACGTTCAGGTAAAGACAGACCACAGGTAGATCAAACAGAGCAAACAGTGATTGAGACACAGGCCCTTTGTTTTGTGGTACATTTGTTCCATCACCATTCATTGATTCATTCTACAGCATTTTTAAATCACCTTGCACGTGTCAGATGTGGTGCCATAAACAGCATATGATTCCTGTCTTCAAGCAGTTTGCAGGCTAACAGGACAAACAGATGGTTGCAGTCCAGCATGTTAAATGACAGCAAGACAGACACGTGTGTGTGTGTGTGTGTGTGTGTGTGTGTGTGTTATCCCCATCCCCCTCCTTTTCTTCCTTTTTTACCATTGAATCAGATCCGACTGGCAAAGGAGATGATTGTCCCTCCTTTTCCAGCAGAGCAGCTAGTGGATTCGAACCACACACCTTTAAGATTGCAGTGCACAGACACATATTTTTAGTATAGACTCACATTGGGATGGTCAAGAACAGTTTCCTAAGAAACATGGAATGTGGAAAGCAATATTCTAAGGAAAGAAGAGAAGGGGAGAGGTTTACAAGGTAAAGAAAATGTTTTGCATGAGATAGTTTTATACATTCAAGAAGTTCCAGGTAGTTGGGCATCAGTGGAACAGGAGCAAGGGTGAGGAATGTAATGAGAAGTGACGCATAGAGGTGAGGCCACGTTTGTGGCTAGGGCGAGTGAACTTCATCTTACAGAATGGAAGTTGTTAATGCTATGAACAGAGTTACAGGTGGTGCAAATGGTTAATGTATTCTGCTAGCAGAAAAGTTGATAGTTCTAACCCACCCAGAGCTATCTCAGAAGAAAACCCTATGGAGAATAGTTCTACTTTGACATCATGAGTTGAAGTGAACTCAGACATGTATGGGAGCTCTGGTGGCCTAGTGGGTTAGGAGTTGTGCTGCCAACTCCAAGGCATGTCATTCAAATCCACCAGATGTTCCACGGGAAAAAAGATGAGCATTCTCCTCCCATGTGATTTACAGCCTCTGAAAACCTGCTGAGGGTCAGCTGTGAGCTGGTTCTGATTCGATTGCATATTACAACTATGACAACTAAGTTGTTTTGCTTTAACACAGAAGTTAGGAGTAGTGCATAGTAAGCCCTCGATACTACATTTGAAGCTGTGATATGAAAACGAAGAGATACTATCTAGTAGGAAAGCTAGACGATTGTACTAGACTCTTGTCAAAACCCAAACATAACACAGTTCAGCAGTCACTCTAGGGGCAGTGAATGCTCACAGGCCTTTGGAGGAGGGGAAAGGAGAGGAACCTAAACGCAAGGAGTCAAGGAAAGCCTCCCAGAGGAGGCAATGTGTGGGATGAGGGCGGAGAGCTGGACAGTGTTTCCCAGGGGGGAAAGTCAGAGGGTGACAAACATGGAGAAGAGCATGTGGATATGTGTGGAAATGTGGGAGGGGCATAGCAGTACAGGAAGGAAGGAACGAGTGGATTTTATGACTGGGCTGCAGCATATACAGGGGAAGTGGGGAGACGAGGCTGACAAGACTGGGTCTGTCAGAACGAGCTTTGGATGCCATTCAGGGTGCTTGTACAGATCCACAAGATGAGGGGCAACCACAGAGGGACTGAGAAAGTAGAGAATGGGCAAATGGAGAATAAGCAAGATCAGGTGTGAATGCTGGGTGAGAAAACCATGTGCAGGATGCATTGGAAGTGCTCTTAACTGGACCATTGAAACACATTGTCTTTCAATAACTCAAGTTCAAGGTTGGTGGCCTAACTGGGGCCCAGGTAGTGAGAATTGAGAGATTTAATTTAGTGATATCAACACACAGCACTACCTGGAGCACCCTGCTCAATAGGAGCTTTTACTTTGAGATTCCACTTCCGTGCTTCTCTATTATAGTCACCTTCCCCATGCCCCTTAATTGTATTAACCTTCACTACGGGTCAGAATTGACTCAGTGTTAATGGGTTCGCAAGAGATGGGTTATATGTGGACGACAAAATGGGGCTGGGGTTTTTTTTTGGTATGTGTAGCAAATAATTTATCTATCTATCATCTATCTATCTATCTATCTATCTATCTATCTATCTATCTATCTATCTATCTATCTATCTCATCTAGCTAGCTAGCTAGCTATTGCCAATTCTACAATCTCAGCACGTACACGTCAGTGGCACTGACTACATTTAGTGCCCCCTCACAGTGACTCGCTCCTTCCCACTCCTGACAACTACTATGTATTTGCTAGAACATAGATTTTATTTAAAAAAAAAAAAGTGAGTAAAATGTGCTCAGATAATAGACACATCAGTTAAACAGTAACACCAGAAATAAATTATGCAAGATCCACTTGAATATGGAGGTGTTTTGGGGGCCAAGGATAGAACGTGGTCTCTGGTGGGCTGGGAGCAGCACTGCTCAGGACAGTGTGACCCTCTGAGTGAGACTTCCTCATTGGGAGACCCTCCATCCTGTCTTGTGGGGTTTGACCCCTTGGCAGCTCCAAGTTAGTGTCCATGAAGAGGTATCTCTTGGTCCCCTAGACAGGACTGCAAAAGGGTTTTGCTGATCTCACATTCTCAAACTTGGTAAGAGTCAGATTTATAATTTTCTTTTTAAATGATACAGATTAAATGAACATCCGAGCAGTAATTGGAGCCCCCAGCTGAGTTACTTTGAATATCGACGGTTACTGAGGAACCTCACGGCCCTATGGATCCGAGCTACGTATGGAGAATACAGTATGTGTCTAGTTTAGCGTGTTAACTAAATAGCTCTTGATTTAGTTGGTGGTAGTGTCTAAACAAGCAGATGCACCATTTTTAATTTAGTGTATCTGTTTTAAGGAGTTCCCCTGGTTCAGTGGGTTAACATTTTTTGTGTGTGTTCTGTTTTTTTATTTTGGGGTTGTTTTTGTTTTTTTGTTTTTTTACATTGAGCGTACTGTGCCACATACCTGATAATGGATTGATTTTCACAAAATCATGTAGTTGGTGGTGTTGGTGCCCTTGAGGCCACTTCCCCTCATAGCGACCCTGTTGTTGTCATTGTTGTTGTGTACCATGCAGACAGAAACAACCTGAAAATTGACCCTCCAGTGGGTTTTCAGATGCAGTTTCATTGCATGGGAGGAAATTGCCCATCTTTCTCCCACAGAACAGCTGGTGGATTTGAACAGTGTGCCTTTGGAATTACAGTGCAGCTCCTTACCACCAGGCCACCAGAACTCCCTATGAGCAAGTCTGGACCTTGCCCAATCCTGTAACACTCTCCATCTTTATCATACGCAAGCCTTTGTTCCAGTCACAGTGTCAATCCATCTTGTTTGAGGGTCTTCCTTTCTTTCTCTGTCCCTCAACTTTGCCCAGTATTATGTCTCTCTCCAAATAGTGGTTCCTTCTAAGAATATGCTCAAAATAAATGAAGTTTCACAATCCTCGCTTTTAAGGAGCACTCTGGTTAAATTTCCTTCAAGACAGACGTGTTTGTTTTTTAGGCAGTCCATGGGTATATTTAAAATTATTTGCTAGGACTGCAATTCAAAGGCACCATGTTGTTGTTGTTGTTATGTGCCATTGAGTTGCTTGTGACTAATAGCGACCCTATGCACAACAGCCCTAAACTCTGCTCTGTTCTGTGCCATTCGCACTGTCTCTGACACTCCCATCCCAATTACCCAGTCACTGAATCAGTCCACCTCATAGTGGGCCTTCCCCTCCTGCACTGTCCCTCCACCCTCCCAAGCATGATGTCCTTCTCCAAGGACCAGTCCCTCCTTAACAACATGCCCAAAGTATGTTAGACAGAGCCTCAGAAGCCTTGCTTCCAAGGAGCCGCCTGGTTTAACCCTTTCCAGGATGAATCTGTTTTCCTAGCAGTCCATGGTACTCTCAATACTCTTCTCCAGCACCACAGCTCAAAGGCATCAATTCTCCTTCTATCCTCCTTGGTCATTGTCCAACTCTCTGATGCATAACAAGTGATATAGCAAAGACCACGGCCTGTATCAGATGCACCTTAGTCTCCAGAGAGACACCATTGCTCTTCAGTACTTTGGAGAGGTCCCTAACAGCAGACTTTCCCATGGCAATGCGCCTTTTAATTTCCTGGCTTCTGGTGCCAAGAGTGTTGACTGTGGAGCTAAGCAAACTAAAGCTGTGTACAATCTCAATCTTTTCACCACCCATCCTGATGTTGCCAATTGGTCCAGTGGTGAGAATGTCTTCTTGACATTGAGCCTCAATCCATATTGGAGGCTGCAGTCCTTGACCCTCTGCAGCAGGTGCTTCAGGTCCTCTTCAGTTTCAGCAAGAAGGGTTGTGTCATCTGCATAACGCAGATTTAGTAAAATCATAACTAGCAAAAATACTAAAAAAACCCATAACAATAATGAACAAACAATCCCACAGCACTTCCTGATATCAATTGTAGATATGCTACTGTTCTCCTTCCTTCTGCAGTTGAGAAAGCAGAGCGATGGTGAGGGAGGGTCGTGTGATTTGTCCAGTTGACATAGTGAGTGAAGGTGGAACTGACTGAACTGATGAAAGTAATTATATCCTGACTCCAGAGCCCATGTGCTCAGTAGCCATGCCAGACTCTGTGGCATTGACAACTGAACTCTACCTATCGTTGACAGGGAATTAAGAAAAAGAAAATCCAAAACCATCCTTACTGAAGCCCTTTCCATGTGCTTTTTCTCATCCACCCTCTATCCCAGGTACTGGCTACTTTGACAACGTGACTCTGGTTTCAGCTCGCCCAGTCTCTGGAGCCCCAGCACCCTGGGTTGAACAGTGTGTGTGTCCTGCTGGGTACAAGGGTCAGTTCTGCCAGGATTGTGCTTCTGGCTACAAAAGAGATTCAGCCAGGCTGGGGCCTTTTAGCACCTGCATGCCATGTAACTGCCCAGGAGGAGGAGCTTGCGATCCAGACACAGGTGAGTGGAGTGACATCTGGGCCAGGTGGCTGAGGTTGCAGCCAGGTGACTCAGGTCTCCTGGGAGAGAGAGCTGGGCGAGAGCACATGTGCCTGAACTCATTTCAGAGATGGGAAAAGGATTAGGGGGCAGGGGTAGGGAAGATGTGCAGGTGCTTTACGCCCTCTCAATCCTTTTCATTATGGAAATGGCTCAAGGTTGTGAGAAAGGTGCTGGGTTTCAGGAAATGGCTGTTATGGTTCAGTGCAGGAGGGCAGGCAGGATGGGTGTCAGGTTGCAAGAACTGTAGGGAGAGATCAAAGGCAACGTCAGTGCCTGGATGAATGTGTACCAAGTGGTGTCAGGCATGGAGGACATGGGAGCGGGGCGAAGATATGGATCGCAAAGGAAGCGTGGGTGTACTTAGCATGAGTGGGTTCAGGATCACGGCTCAGCTTTAGAGCTGGTTCTAAGACAGAGGGGAATACCAGTGTTCAGATACTTTATGAAAAGATTCAAAATGGAAGGCTTTGAGTTACTACGCTCTGGCCCCACACATCCTTCATAGTAAAGGTGTTGTGCTCTTTACCTCTGCTCATTTTTCCTGTCCCTCTGTCCTTCCTCTGCTTCCCAGGAGATTGTTACTCAGGGGATGAAAACCCTGACATTGAGTGTGCCGACTGCCCCATTGGTTTCTACAATGACCCACAGGATCCCCGGAGCTGTAAGCCATGTCCTTGTCGCAATGGGTTCAGTTGCTCCGTGATGCCTGAGACAGAGGAGGTGGTGTGCAATAACTGTCCCCCTGGGGTCACGGGTAAGACCCAGAGCTTCTTCCTGTCCTGACGCCATGCATTTATGTCAATAACTTTGCCTCCAAAGAATATGCCATCAAGCCCATCTCAGCTCATCTTAACCCTGGTGTGTCAGTGTACAACTGTGCTCCATGGAGTTTTCAATGCCCGGAGTATATGAAGTACATCACCAGGCTTTGCTTCAAGGTGTTTCTCCCCCCCCCCCCCCCAGCCGCAGCTCTTTTCTGTTTATTGCATGAAAGAGTTACACTCGTACAAGTTAAAAGTGGACCCCAACTGGTTACATTATACAAGCTGTGAGGTTTTAAACTTGTGACAAGGGACAGAAGGGAAATTTTCTACTCATTGCAAGGAAATCCTCACTTAAGCTTCAGTGAGCCACAAGCACTTAAAACCCGTGAACCTTCAGCTAGTCGTCCTGAGACAGTCCAGTCTCTGCAAGGAGCTGGCATATGTTCTTGTGCTGGTCACCCTGTAGCTGAATTACTTCTCCATATTCTGGATGCTCAATTACAGTACCATTGTAGGCAAACTTCTTAAACACCTTCATTAGTTTCTTTTTATCATAATCATCAGCGATCCTTTGGACAGTTGTCCTACTGTTTCTCTGTTGAATTCTTATATGGGTATAATCTTCAGTCCCAGCAGGAAGCAGTCATCACCCTTACTTGCATCAGCAAAGAGTTAGAAAGAGTGGAGGTTCTGGATAGTGGACATACTATCCTTTTCCTCTGGGGGGAGAAGGCAGGCAGGGGAACTGAGCGTCACTAGGAAGCGAGGGGGCTCGAGGGGGAGGCAGCTGAGTCCTTGGCGGCGGCTCAGTGATTTGGGCCTCAAGGTGCTTTTTGAACCTTCAACCTTTAGGTCAGCAGCTGAGCATGTGAACTATTTACACCCACCAGAGCCTCCGGGAAGCTGTTATTACTTAGGGGTAATCGAAAGTGCCCTTATTCTTTCTGTGTGTTTCTTAGGGAGTCATGCTGCTAACATAAAGCCTGTACCTCTCTGCTGGTTCAGATTCACCAGTAGTTCCTTGGGAGAGAGAGGGCCCACTGGAGGATCAGCTATGAATGAGTTCTGACGTGACAGCAACATGAGTTTTGATTTTTCAAAAGTTAAAGTTTTGATGCCTGAGAGACTTGAGCAAAGGCAGAAATGGCTGTTTTTGTTGTGTACCATAGAATCGGAACTGACTCATAGCTGACCTTCCAGCAATTTTTCAGAGAAGAGATTGCCCATCTTTCTCCCACGGAGCAGCTGGTGGATTCGAGCTGCTTGCCTTTGGGATGGGAATGTGACGCTGCACTCACCGGGCCGCTAGAGCTCCCTAAGTCAGAACAGGAAACGTTACAGCTGCTTTTAAGAAGTTTGCAAATAGCAGATGAAAAGAGTTCAAAACAAATGCTTGGGGTTCTGTTTTGGTTTTGTTTTTCCATTTTAGGAAATAAATCAAGGTAAATATGAAAAAGTGTAGTTACCTGTATTTTTTAAGAAATAAAATTTTATTTTCATTGTCATTTTAACAAACATTTAAAGAAAAGTTAGATTTTTATTCTTTTATTGTTGCAAATTTATCCCCTCCCTCATTTCCTTCTCCCCTAGTTCACTTTTTTAAAAGTATTCATTGTTGTACAGTTTTCTCCCTCCCCCCCCCCCAGTTCTCTTTGTAGTAATAAACCTCTTAAATGTCACAATCTCTCTCCTGTTTGATCTGGACTAACGAATTTAACAGCAATGACTTTGAGGGTGTTGCTCTGAATCTTATTGCTTTTAGGAGCTGCTGGCTTGTCCCAGCCAGCTAGTTCACTGAGAGGACACCTCCAGGGGTGCTACTGTGCCCTCAGATTGGTGACCCCAGCCCCTGGTGTGGTGCGAAGCATGACTCTCTCTGTTCAGAGGATAACTTGCTACTTTGGCCCCTGGGTCTGGTCTTGCTGCCCACAGTTGATGATCTGGGTCTGATCATTGCTTCCTTCCCAGGTGCCCGCTGTGAACTCTGTGCTGATGGTTACTTTGGGGACCCCTTTGGGGAACGTGGTCCGGTGAGACCCTGTCAGCCCTGCCAATGCAATAACAACGTGCATCCCAGTGCATCTGGGAACTGCGACCAGCTAACAGGCAGGTGTTTGAAGTGCATCCACAACACTGCTGGCTTCCACTGTGACCAGTGCAAAGCTGGCTACTTTGGGGATCCCTTGGCCCTTGACCCAGCAGAAAAGTGTCGAGGTAGGTCTTTGCCTCAGGCTGTGTGTGTGTGTGTGTGTGTGTGTGTGTGTGTGTGTGTGTTTACATAAACTTGCTAATCTGAAAGGCCAATCACAGTAACTATCTCAATGTTACTTGTATTTCTCTGACCAACTGGCCTGTGAACAACCTGGACCTTGTGCCAGGCAGAGGCCTTAACTCGTTCCCCTCTGTGCCAGGGTTCTGGGAGGCCAAGCTGGAGGGGCAGGAATGGTGAAAGCTGGGTAGAAGGAACAGGAACGGAAAAGTAGGTTTACATTCCTAAGTGGAAGAGGAGATAAAAGGGGTGAGCCTTGTGCCCTCTCCCGAGGCCAACAGCCAACAGAGTGGCTGCCAGGCTGGCGGCGGGAAAGTCATAAATGACTCAAGAAGAAGCCTGAACAAACTGAAGTGGAGCGATAAAGCCGTTTAAGAGACTCTCTCAGGAAGTTAGTGTAATTAATGTATAGAAAGAGAACAGGCAAACCTTCTAACCAGATGCTTCAAAGGGGTGGCTCTCAGGAAGCATTCTTAAGGGCAGCCCCACATCAAAGCATGGTCTGCTGGCCAGCTCAATTGCTTAGCTTTTTCTTGCAAACTTTGTCACAGGACATATTCAGAAGCAAGTTCTGCCGTAAAGGAGCTGGCTAGCCGCAGAGAGAGCCTTTGCTGCAGAATTCTGAGAGTCCCCAGAACCTGCGTGTTATAGAGTCCAGGCAGCTCTGAGAATCCAGTTTAGGGGATTCCTGCCTCTCCAGGAGGACTCAGAGGTCTACCAGGAGCCCAAGAGCCTCCCACTTATACCAGGAACTCACCTACACTCCTCGGAAATCTAGATATGCCTGAGAATTTATATAAAACCTGGGACTGCTGCCAAGGGGCCTGCACACTAGGGCTTCCTGGGCTAGACAAATTCTGACTCCAATTTGGAGGGTCCCCTTCAAAATGCTAGAAAGACTCCATCATAAGGGCTGAACCCATTTCTGAATTAAAGTCCTGCTTTATAGCATACTTACTGCATTGTATTAAATGTCAATTAATGTCTCTGAGCTTTCCTTTTCTGTGGTATTTGATTAATATTTAGCTCAAAGTGATTCCAAAGATAAAATTGCATGAGAAAGCACACATTATAAATGTTTTCTATAATTCTAGCTAAATTCCTTGTCACCGAATTGGAACCAACTCATACTTGACACTCCATTTGGTTTCTGAGACTGTAAATTACACCAGAGGAGATTGTCCCTCTTTCTCATGAGCAGCTAGTATATGAGGCTATTAGAAGGAATTTTACCAGTGTTGGAGTATACATTTCTTCGCTTGAATATCTTTTATCAAGCACCTACTATGATGTGCCTGGTTCAGAGCTAGATGTCAGTCCTAGTGCCCACATACAAATAACTACAATATGTTGTTGCTGTTATGTGCCGTCGAGTCGTTTCCGACTCATAGCGACCCTATGCACAACAGCCCTAAACCCTGCTCTTTCCTGCGCCAACCGCACTGCCTCTGA